CGGTATGTGGGATTGTCCCGGTCTGCCTCTCCAAGGATAAGCTTAATGTGACCACCCTGACACAGCCGTGGTACTCAATGCATCCTCCCCATCCTTGCCTTCCAGGGCCTCACACCCGCTCCTAGATCAGCGGCAGCCTCACTACTCAGCTTTTGGCTCTGTGGGTGAGTGGCTCCGAGCCATCAAAATGGGACGATACGAAGAAAGTTTTGCAGCTGCTGGGTTTGGCTCCTTCGAGCTGGTCAGCCAGATTTCCGCTGAGTAAGTCATGGTAGGAGCTGGAGGTGAGGGTTAGAGCCAAGCCAGAGGAGCACCTGCGGACCAGAATCCAGCCCACTGGTTCATCAGGGGCCTTTGGGGTCAATTCCTGGTGCCAACTTTTCTAGAGCTCCCTCAAAGCATTAACAGCTGCTGGGGCTGAAATCCCAGGGAATCTTCTAAGCCAGCTGTGCCTGCCTCGCCCTCTTGCACCATTTCAGCCCTTGGTCATCCGCTTCCTGCCTGGCAATCTGTATCTATCTTTGTGCATCTATCTACATTCCAGACCTTGCTCTCACATTAACAACGTGTCAACTTTGGATGTTTTCCCACCCATAAAAGGAGAAGATTGGACTAGGTTTTAGGGAACCTTTCCAGCTTTAATGTTAAATGGTTTTATGATTGTGCTTCCCAAATACTATTTTTCCCTTAGTTGGCTTCTCTTTGGTACTTCTCCTTTCTGCCTTCCCATTTCTCTCACAAGGACTTTTCTGGCCCTAGATTTGAATAACAGAAATAGAAGGAATAGAAATCTGGAACCAAAGGGTGCTTGGAGGCCCTCGCCCTGGTGGGGCAGGTCACAGGCCAGTCTGACCCATTGGGCCTGGGTGCTGTCTTCACAAACTTGTTCCAACCTCTCCTTGATACAGGTTCTTACTCTCCGTTTCCCACCTCTTTTTTTCTCCCTTATCTCAGTCTCCAGGCCTCGGGATGGAGTGGGGGAGGCAGTTTGTTTTCCCCCTTCCTCTTCACCCAGCCCTTCCTCTCGGGCCTTTTTCCTTCTGACTTCCCCTTTCACCTCTAAATCAATCTGTGCATCGCCTTCCCCCATCCTCATTTTGTGGGCCTTCCTTTCTCTCCCTCTCTCTCTCTCTCTCTCTCTCTCTCTCTCTCTCTCTCTCTCTCTCGTTTCTTTCCTTCTCTGATTCTCTGCCTTAATCCTGTTGGAGCTTCCATCCAGGCCCCTGCCCCCGCACCCCTACCTCCCTCCCTTCGACTCACCCACCCCAGGTCCCTGGGCCTGCGGGATGCCTAAACTTCGTCCCCTACTGGGGCTGCGAAGAACTGCGCCCTGGCTCCTAAATCCCCCGGAAACTGCTGGGCAACTATTGACCTGTGCCCCTTCCCCTGCTGGCCTTTTTGATTGGCTGGCAATCCAGAAGTGGTGACCAAGTTTCTGAAGCTAAGCTAGGAAAGCCGCCCCAGCAGCCCTATGGCCTCACCTAGCTCTCTGTTCTTCCCCAGGGACCTGCTCCGAATAGGAGTCACTCTGGCGGGACACCAGAAGAAAATCCTGGCCAGTGTCCAGCACATGAAGTCCCAGGCCAAACCTGCAGCCCCAGGCGGGTTGGGAGCACCATCCCCCCAGTACTGACCTGCGCCTCATCACCTGGCCCCACAGCTCTGGAGCAGCAGGAATTCCCATGCTGGGGACACCACTCCCCCTTTTTTGGGGGCAGAATCAGGTGGGGACCCAAGAGGCCCCCATCTCTACGTCCCATTGGATTGCACTTTGAACCTATGCAGGTGGGGAGATGGCAATTTGGAGAGACAGGATTTGGGGATTCTGCCATATGGGAATGTAGAAGTAACATGCTCCCCAGATGGGGAATCCCACACCAAAGGTGTGGGAGCCCTTCTTTCAGGATTGGGTGTGACCAGAGAGAAAGGAAGTGTCCATAATCTGCCAACTCCCAGAGGTGGCTGGGTGCAATCCCACAACCTCCCTTTGATCCCCAATTAGGGACCCGGGTGCACCTCCTCACCTTGAAGGGTTGCAGACCCTGGAGACCAAAGAGAAGAGGGTGACAAGCCTTTAAGCTCAGGAGTGGAGCACCATGGTGGGAGGCGGGAAGGGGTGTCATGGCCCAGTGACAAAATCATTGGACTTGGATGTCCCAACCTTGCTGCTGTCTCCCCTGAACTCAGTTTTCCCTTGTAAATACCCTTCCCCATCAGCTGCCTTCATATTGAAGGTTTTTTTGAGTTTTAATTTTTGTTTTTGGTCTTATTTTTTTCTTCTCTCTTTTTTTTTCTGTTTTTATTTCTGTTTTGTTTTTTACTGTCTTTGTCATAACTTTTTGTGTTGGAGGGGACCTGTTTCGTTATCACCTCCTTTGCCCAAGTTGAAACAGTGACCCATCATTGTGTCTATTTCCAGAAGAGCACAACCCCTAGACATTTCTCTTCCCCGCCAAATACCCTCAAGCTGTGTCCATGAGGGGGTTTGGGGGGGGCAAGGTGGTAGTGGAAACCAGAGACAGACACCAGTGCTTGGAGGGGTTCTTAAATTATATTTAAAACAATTTTTTTGTATAAATAAAAGAAAATGGGAAGTGTCACAGCTCTGGGGGTGATTGGGAGTAGGGGATGGAATAGACTTCTGAGGAAAGCAGAGTGGGTGTGGAGGGGTGGGAGGTCTGGAAACAGGGCTGTGGGGGGCTGGGTGCTTAGTTCCCAGCCCCAGGGTGTGTTTGAGGTGGTGAGGTGGGGGCAGTGGGAGGTGAGTCATTGGCAGCTGCTTCTAACAGCTCCAGATGGCTCTGCCAAGAGCCTGGGGCACCTCCGGGGTGGGGCTGCCCCCTCCTCCCTAGCCCCAGAAGGGTGCTTGTTTGAGGCAAAGAGGAGGCCTTGGGCTCACAGCCCTGCTCTACAGTCCCCTGAAGTGGGTGGGGGCGAGGCATCCACTGGGATGGGGGTCCAGTCAGATGGAGACAGATGTGGACCAGATGCTGACAGCTGGGGTTGGTTTAAAGGCATGGAGGAAAAGTGTGTGCACTGGCTGTGGGGGAGGTGCAGAGAGCTGGGGTGGAGGATGCAGGCCCCCGCGTGTGTACACAGACAGATGCGGGCTCGGTCGGTCGGAGGACAATTCCCCCTTTCAAGACGCTGCCCAGGCAGGTTCTCCCAGCCTCTGGGGAAGGGGAGGGGGAAACTCCTGAGTGTCTTCCCCCCACTTCTCCCTTCCAAACAGAAGGATGAAGATGGGGTCAATCCCCATTGTTTTTCTCTGCCACGTTCTGTTTCTTTCCTCCCAGTCTGCCTGCCCTCAGGGACACCTGCAGGGGCAGGCCTCCACTGAGGCAGCTTTGTTATTTCTGCATCTCAGTTGCCTCCTGTTGTGGTGTTGGGGTCATGCAGCGTCCAGCATCCTAAATCGTAGCTTTTACCTCTCCCAGCCCAGGGAGCCTCTGGCAGTGATCCCATCTCAATACTTTGGAATCCTCTGTTCCCTCATCTGATGAGATCTCACCCATATTATACCTCCAAGAGAGGGAGGGACTCAGTCTTGCCAAAGATGGAGGGGGTCTGGGTCCAGAAGGAGGAGGTCTGTCTGGAAGAGGCTGGCCCAGGCCACCCCCTTCCCCTGACAACCAGACACTTGGCTAGGGAAGGTGACTTTAGCAGGCCAGGGGAGGAATAGGTCAAGGGATCAGGGCACAGGTGAAGAACAGAGGCAAAGGGTTAAAGACTGGGTAAAGGTCTGTACAGGTGTACAGCAGGAAGCCCCATGTCGCCCAGATTAAAGCATGGACAGCCAAGTTCCAGAATTCCTGAGACTGCCTATCACACCTAGCTTGAGCGTGAGCTGCTCCCCCCAGCTAAGGGGCAGGATGGCCTGGCCATGGGCACCCCTCCCTCCCCAGAGCCCTATCTCAGCCCAAGTTAGGTCTTGCTTCCTTAAAAGAAGGTGGCTGCAGGGCAAGTGATCTCAGAGGAGGAGCACAGAATAAGAATACCTTTCTAGAACCCAGTGTCCTATCTGCTTTGGTGTCCCCAAACCCAAGTCTCCTGTCCCTTGTGATCCTACATCCTGACTGTCCTCACCCCAGTTGGAAGCTTTCTTTTCCTTCTTTGAGTCCAAGCAGAATGTCCCAACTACTCCCCCAAACAAGGACCTGCCTGGTCAAAATGTTTTCCCTTTGACCTCAGGCTGAAGTGGGGGGTGATGGTGCTACTCCTACTAGGATGGAACTCAAGACTCAGCAAGAGGCCCCAGACCCCACCCTCAGTTGCCATAGTAGCTCTTGGGCCCTTTGGGAAAATGGCTGTGTGCAGAAGGTAGGGTCCCCTTAGAGGGGCACAGTCCTGTTCACCCTTTGGAAAAAACCACATTTCCCATTCTTAGGCTCTGCCCAGCAAGTCATCCCTTCATTAGGAATGTCAAACTCTTTAGGACCACTTTTCACTCCCCTAGTGGGAAGCGCAGAGGTCAAGTCCTCTGAGAAGGAGAATTCTTAGGGGGAAAACATGACAAATGCGACCTTTTCTCCTGTATTCCAGAAGCCAGAGGGCTGACGGCCCACCTTGATATGGCTTTGAATAAGAAGAAATAGGCCTCCCCTCCTCACACCTATCCCCTCGGGACATTTTGTGGGGCACTGAGCCCTATGCCCCACACACCTGCCTGCCTTCTATTTCTCCTCTCAAAGACCCATCTCAGACCCTCTTCCATCGTGATTATATGGAAATTTATATCTCAAAATCAAACAATTTTATTTTAACTTTTTTGAGGACAACTCAAAACTAAGTGACTTTGAAGGCAGGCTCTGGAACAAAATCTGAGGGGAAAGGGAGGAAACTATTAGAAGCTGACTCAACTCCTGGTGGCCAAGGTTCTGGGTTGTGGGGCTGGTTCTCACCTGTGTCTGCCAGCCTGTCTCTGTTCTGGCTCAGCATTTTCTCCCTGGGGGGTAGGGGGCAACAGAGAGGGTCAGTGCCCACTCCCCATGTTCACTCACCCCTCAGCTGCCCTCACCCCCTCTCACAGAACTCACCTCTTCCTCCTCCTCTTCTTAGAAGCACATTCTCTGATCCCTGCCAGCACTATGACCACCACAAGCACCAGCATTCTCAACTGGATGGCAACAAAGTTGGACACTTCTGGAATGGGATAGGAAGGGGTGGAGGAAAAGACACTTCCTTTTGGTCTTCGGTTGCTACCCTGAAGGGCCTGCATACCCCTAAATCCCTAGTTGTGGCTGGTTCTTCCTCTACGGGGCTGTTGCTCCATTTCCAAGGGTTTTAGTGCCCCCCCAACCCTTTCTGTTTCTGGGCTCACAGCTCCCATAACCCTTTTGGAGGGATGTTCATCCAGTTAGTCCCTGGAGTCCAGGGCATCAATTCCACCAGTACTTCTCAAAGAGGAATCCTAGAATCACTTCCATCAGTCACCTGGGAGCTTGTTAAATATGCAGATTTCTGGGGTGAGTCTGCAAATGAATGTGTTAAACAAGCTACCTCTCCTAGCCCTGCCCCCCTCCCATTCTTAGGTAAGATAAAGTTAGCAAGTCACTGGCCCAGAGGCTAAAGGTCTTGGAGAGGCCTAGAGTGATACAAGAAGAGAAATAAGAGTGGGGGTGAGGCATATAGATCTCAGGAGAGAGCTAGAGTCCAGAGAGATTCCAGAAAATGTGCGTAGGAGATGGGCACAGGGACTCAGATTCTTTGAGAATCCTGTCTTGTTAATCTCTAGGGATAATATTATATATTATTATATTTTCTATAATATAGATTACAGTAATATTTTATTACCTATCTGTTATATGTCTATCATACCTATTAGATGCAAACATTATATACATGGAATAGCGGCAGTTGCTGGTGGGGAAGGGACCATGAGGATACAGGGCCTGAGATTAAGTTCTTACCTGGCTTTTCAGGGAATGGTACATCCCGAAGCTCCATACAGAAGTCTCCCCCATAACCAAGTTCACACTCACAGGTGAAGTGGGTGACCTGCTCCTGACAGTGCCCGTCGTTCTGACAGGGGTTCCGCAGACATAGGCTTTCTACAAGGATAAAGGGGGCTGTGTGTGGGTGGGGGCGTTCTTGGATGGCACCCACAGTCAGAGAGAGGCCTGGGAGCAGGGACCCCAGGGAGGAAAACAGCAACTTCCATTCCTGGCTCTGCACTCACTAGCTCTGGGCTCTAGGGAAATTGTTCATTTCTGAACTCCATTTTTTTTTAAACCTATAAATGGGGAGATTATACTTGCTACCAAGTGCTGAGTAAGGGCCAAAACAGATCATGGGAAGCTGATGCTAAGTTCTTGGCAGATAGCAGACGCTCAGGACACATCAGGTTCTTAACTTTTGCCCCTCCTGACAGATGAAGGGGCTAAGCCAGAAGGAGCGGAATTAAATGGCACAAACTTTCTGGCATGGATGAGGAGAAGTCCCGGGCATAGGACTGGGAAGGACAGTCCTCAGTCCAAGGATGCTCGAGGTATGGAGGCAGCTTAAAGCCAAGGGGCTATCTGAGCTCACGTCAGAAACAGCCATGAATGAAGTTCCCCAGGGTGCAGATTTCCCCCGCGCTGCAGCTGAAGGGTTCACACAGCTGGACCTCGGAGCTGGCACAGGTGCAGTGCTGAGTGCAATCCTCAGTCACAAAACTGTCACCTAGCTGGAGAAGGAAGAAGGGCTGGAAGGAAAAGGTCCTGTTTTCCTCCCTCCGCACCTCCACTCCCCAGGGCCTCCCAGACCCCACGACCTGGTAGCAGATGCCATTGTTGGTCCAATCACAAGGGGCCAGGGAAAGGCTCTAGGTGCCACTGTAGATGTAGCCTGGGAGGCTGGCACAGCCTTCCACATGGGAGCCCTCACGGTCCCTGGGGGCCGCCAGGCTGGCACAAGAGGCAGGGCAGGGTGTCATACAGCTCTGATAGATGGTATTGGCCGGGCATGCCAAGGCTGAAGGGACAGAATCACAGTCAGAGAGTGGCCGGCTGGGGCTGGCCCCATAGGTGTGGGGAACCTGGGGCTGGAGAGGGAACAAGGTCTCCAAAGACTGAGCATTTTTCCAACTCTGCCACGAAGGTATAGGTAAGGAACACAGCTCATTATAGGCAGGGAAGCTAGAGAGTGGGCCGGCTCTGGGTGTCTCTTTGTGACATTAAAGCACATTAGGAACTGGAGGAGAGAAGATGGGCATTCATGAGGAGATTGGTGACAGGGTGGGGATGAGGCTTCCTTGGCAGAGCCAGAGAGGGCTTAGGTTGGGAGGACGCTGACATGGTGAGAGTTGAGGGATGCAGAACCCAGAGGGGAAGCCCCAGGTGGGGGCAATGTGGTGGCACAGAGCTGAACAGAAGCAGAAATGACTGAGGGTGGTCAGGGGCCAGCTTTGGGGGAAGGTCAGTGCATCAACCGCAGTGAGTGTGGTCCCACCAGCTGGTCAGGGTGGTGGCTGCTTCCTGGCATAGCCACTGAAAACCTGGCAGCCACTGAAAACCTCGCAGCGCAGCTCCTCCTGCTCTTTGGGGTTCTAGGCGACACACAGATCAGACACACAGTGCCTAGGGGAACAGCAGGAACAGTTGAAGGCTGTCAGGTGGAGGAGGAGGCAAGGGCACCCAGTCCTGCAGAATAAGCCTGGAAGCGCCTGCAGAAAGATATCAGGCCGTGTGTGTGTGTGTGTGTGTGTGTGTGTGTGTGTGTGTGTGTGTGTGTGTGTGTGTGTGTGTGTGTGTAGAAGGGGTTGAATCAAAAGGAATGGAGGCCACAGAGAGAGAAGTGAACCAAACAGGGAAAATCAGAGATAAGCAACAGGACCCAGGGAAAGGCAATTCCCACTGTCCCAGGTCCTCACTCACTCCTAGAAGGGCTCTGGGGCCACAGTCTGGTGACAGGCAGCAAAGGGGCCCTGGCGGGTCTACCAGCACCCTACGCGCCTGAGTGCTATTGATGAGCTCCAGCTGTTCCAGGCTGCATTCTGACACATAGAAGCCCAACTTCTCTTCTCCCTCCTCCTCCTCCTCTTGGATGGACCTGGGGCAGAGGCCTATGAAGGCTGGTGAGTTTAGGAAGAACTGAGAGGGAGTGTAAGGGATGGGCACAAGCACAGACCCTGATCCAGAAGGCAGGTGCCCCCCACAAGATTAGGAGAAACAGGCAAGTGTGTCTGAACACTCTCCTGTGGGTTTCCTCCTCTGCTGAGGATATGGGGGTGAGCAGCATGTGTACAGATATTGGGCTGTCTGTTTCTCATGCCTTTGGACCCTGGGCCTCCCTACCCCAAGCCCCAGCCCTCTCACCTTGAGAAGCGGGGGAGGCCTCCATTGATCTTCACCTCACAACTGTTGCCAAAATTGTTGAGGTTCTGAGTGAGGGGACCATTGGGCAGCATAAATTCATTCTTCTGGTTCTTGTCAAAGTTCCCACACAGGCCACACACAAGCCCATGGTACGAGTCGGGCAGGGAGATCACTGCAGGAGGAAGGGGGCATCCAGAGAAAGACCCCTCACCTCTTTGCTTTCCCACCCCCCCTGGGGCCTCCACTGGAATTCAGGGCCCCAATCCCAGGCAGAAGTCCTCTCACCATGCTAGGTTTGTCTAAGATATTGTCCTCCCTCCTTCCCTCACCGATCCCAGAAACATTCCTTCTGCTTTCCTGTTCCTAGCCTCAAGTACCTGCATTGTTCCTTTCATCAAAGCTGACAACCAACTCAAAGTCAGTGGTCAGATACAACCAATGGCCCTGAATGGTAACCTGCAGCTGTTTGTTGGAGTTGTAGGGGATGGCCATCTTCTCGTCATTGACCTGGAAAAGGGAGACAGGAGCCACGGGAGTCCTGAGTCAACCTGCTTGTCTGCCACTATGGCCCTGCCTCTCTTGGCACATCTCAATGCCTCTGTGTCATCATTTGATGGATGAGATACCCCAGTAGGCTTTGCTATCTGCATGGCAAAGGCCTCCCAGAGGTCTGGTGCTTTTGCAGCCCCAGACCCTTCCTTGCAAAAACTTTGGCAGAGTGGATGCCCCTGCTACGTCCTCAGCCAGCTCCATCTTCACACTGCAGGTGCTCTCCTCCTCGCTTGTCCCCTCTCTTTCTCCAGACTTTTGCTTAATCTCATGCCTCTCTCCATGACGTGAGTGTGACACAAACTCACTTCTATAACCAGGTAACCGCCATCAAGAACTTCCCAGGGAACATGGAGTCCTGGCTTCACCTGCTCCGGGTGGCCTCCCATGGCCCAGGCTGCCTCCCCAGAAGCTCCTGATCTGGTCTGGCTCTTACCACAAGCTGAAGCTCAGCCTGGAGCTGGACTGTATAGCTGTAGACCATCACAATGACTTCATGCAGGAAGATCTGGCTGAGGGGTATATACATTTTGTTGCGTCCCTCCACAACCAGAGGCACCACACCACCGGGGAGCATGTCCACGGTCTTGGTCAGAATGTAGGTCATGCGGCCCTGGAAGTGGTAGCTAAGACCATCAAATGTGCGGTAATAGGGGGTCTCTGAAAATTGAGCATTGTTTCAACTCTGCCAAGAAAGGCCGATGTTGAGAAGGTACCCTGCCCAAATATAACAGACCTCAGAATCCCTCACCGGCCTGATATTTCCTGTCACCCTCCTTCTTAGCCCTGAGCTCCCTTGATAACTGAGCTGAAACTTCCCCTCTACCAGTCCCATTAAAAACTGGAGAGGATCTTCCTGTCCAGTTCCCTTTTTTTTGCCCTTAAAGGAGTGAACCCCATAGAGGGTCATGACTTGCAGGTGGCCACAGAGCTGGAGAGACTCAGGATGAGAACCCAGGCCCACCCTATGCCTGAACTTGGCCCTTCCTCTCTCAAGAGCTTCACAGCCTCAGCCCCTCTGGCCCAGCCTCTATTCACCTCCCCATATGCCTCTCTTACTGTGGGGGACGCATCTGCTGTCGCTGCTAAAGTTGGGCTGGCAGTGAGAGCCAGAGGGGAAGATGAAGGACTGGCAATGAATGGTTTCTGCTCTGCAAGTACAGCTCTGGGTACAGTCACTGGAAAGCTAGGTTTTCCCTGTCTGTGAGAGCCACAGGAAGAGCAAGGGAATGAGGAGGGAAGGGCCAGTTCTCCTTCCTCTCACCCCTTCAGCCCAAGCTGGCAGTCTAAATGGCTTAATTGGCACAGGCCAGAGGCAGTTATGGAGCCATCCACACACCTATGTCCTTGTACCTAGAAGCATTGTGCTTGGAGTCTTACATATGTCGTTCAGGAGTTAACTCCTGGATCCATCTTACAGATGAGGAAACTGAGGTAACACAGTCCCCTCAGCAGTACCATTAGGATTCAAACCAAGGCCATGCTCCACTAATACACTGTGTTATATTCCAGGTTTTGGGTTCCTCAGATTCAAACTCAAATCACACACACCCAGCCCAGGCCTGGCTGGAGACCACCTTGACCTGTCACCCCAGGCAGGGCCAGCCAGACAGACATGTGCACCCCAGGCTGATAGAGGCTGAGGAAAGGAGAAAGAATCAGCTCCAAGGTGTGTTGTTCCCACCCCAGTTTCCTTCCCCACTCACTGGGAGGGAGCGGCCCTGGGCATCCCTGCAAGTGCACTAAGTCCTGGGCACACACTGTTGCTCACTGAGCACATAGCCAAACTGACAAATGCAGCCTTCCTCACAGGTGGAGGAGAACTTTCATGCCCTCACAATAGCCTTCCAGGTCCCAGCAGGAAGGTGAGCAGGAGGAAACACAGGTTGTGTAGGTGCTGTGGGTGGGGCATTCCAGAGCTGAGGGGAAAAAGGGAGAGGAGTAAAGACTTAGTAATCATGGGCTATGTGCCAGAGTCCCAGGAAACAAAGAAAAAATAATAGTTCACCCAGTTCAGCATGGGAGACAAAGGTCAGCCAATAGCCTCTGCACGGCTTTGATGTGTATGGTCAGTAAGTGTGTGACAGGCATGTGTGTGCAAGGTATAACAGGAGCAGAGAGCAGGAGGCTACTCACTCTGTTGGAGGAATTAAATAAAGCCCTTTAGGCAAAAGTAGTTGTGAACAAATGGAAGTGTTCAAGGATAGGAAGAGTCTGCAATATAAAAATGTCCATTTTTCTTAAGTTAATTTATACATTTAATATGATCCTAATAAAATACACTAAAAAGGTTTTGTTGAAAGCTTGGAAAAGCAGACCTTGGTGCACATCTTAGTCCTGTCCAAACACACCCAGCCCCAGTAGAGGAAACACAGGGTGTGAAGTGCAGAAGGCTTCAAACAAGGTACTCAAGGCCAGTCACAAACAGTGTCTGATGTTGGTCTGCACTAGAGATCACCCAAAAGACTGGGAATCCTGGCAGATCTACCTAATACATAGAAACATATCCAAACAGGCAGCCAAAGTGAGGAGACAAAAAAAAAAACAAGGCCTAAATGAAAGAACAAAAAAATTCTCCAGAAGAAGAGCTAAATGAAATGGAGATAAGCAATTTATCAGTTATAGAGTTCAGAGTACTGATTGTAAGGGTGCTCAACAGCATGAGAAAAGAAATGGAAACTATGAAGGAAATTAAGAATGATATAGTAGAAATAATAAAATAAAATAAAAACTTTGGGAGGAATAAACAGCAGATTAGAGGAAGCTGAGGATTGGATCAGCAAATTAGAAGACAGAGTTAAAAAAAACTCAATCAGAGAACCAAAAAGAAAAGCCAATTAAAAAACAGGAGGACAGTTTAAAGGAGCTGTGGGACAACATGAAACATACCAATATTCACATAATAGGACTACCAGAAGATATAGAAATAAGCAAGGGTTAGAGAAACTGTTTGAAGAAATAATAGCAGAAAACTTCCCTAACCTGGTCAAGAAAAAGTCACACAAGTTCAGGAGGCACAGAGAGTTCCAAGCAAGAAGAACCCAAAGAGGCCCAGGCCCAGACACATCATAATTAAAATGCCAAAAATTCAAGACAAAGAGAGAATCTTAAAGGCAGCAAGAGAAAAGCAATCTGTTACCTACAACAGAGCTCCCATAAGGCTGTCAGCTGATTTCTCATCAGGAACTCTACAGGCCAGAAGAGAATGGCATGAAGTATTCAAGATCATGCAAAACAAGGATCTAAAACCAAGACAACTCTATCCAGCAGGGCTATCATTCCAAATAGATAATGAAATAAAGAGGTTTCCAGGCAAAAAAAAAAAAAAAAAAGGCTAAAGGAGTTTATCACCATCAAACTAACATTGCAAGAAATGTTAAAGGGATTCCTGTAATAAGAAGTTGAAATAGAATGATAAACATAGGCATAAAGAAATAAAATGGCAATAGATAAGTACCTATCAATTATAACCTTAAATATAAATGGATTAAATGCTCCAATCAAAGGACTTAGGGTAGCTGAATGGATAAAAAAACAAGACCCAAATAAATATATGCTGTCTACAAGAGACCCACCTCAGAACAAAAGACTCACACAGACTGGAAAAATATGACTTTACTAGATAGATCTTCCAGACAAAAATCAACAAGGAAACAGTGATTCTAAGTGATACACAAGATCAGATGGATTTAATTGACATTTACAGAACATTTCACCCCAAAGCTGCAAAATATACATTCTCTTCATGTGCACATGGGACATTATCAAAGATAGACCACATGTTAGGACACAAAACAAGTCTCTACAAGTTCAAGAAGATTGAAATCATATCAAGCATCTTCTCAGACATTTACATCATGTCATACTATGCAGCTGTAAAAACAAAGGATCCCTTACCCTATGAGAGCATNACATCTGTAACAAAACAAAGGGCCCCTTATCATTTGAGACAGCATGATGGGACCTGGAGAGTATTATGCTAAGCAAAATAAGCTAGCCAGAGAAAAATAAGTGTCACATGATCTTACTCATATGTGGAATCTACTGAACAAAATAAATCAATGACCAAAATAGATCCAGAGACATGGAAGCATGGAATAGACTGACGGCTCTCAGAGGGAAGGGGAGGGGGGAGTGAGAGGAGATTAACCAAAGAACTTATATGCATATATGCATAACCCATGGACACAGACAATAGTGTGGTGAAGGCCTTGGGGGAGGGGTGCATTTGGGGGGAAAAGGGGACATTTGTAATACTTTCAGCAATAAAGATAAATTTAAAACAAACAAACAAAAAGATTTTGTTATGTTTTCTACTCGGGCAAGATGATATTAAAATTGAGATATAAACAAATCAGAAGGCCCAGGAAAACTTTTTAAAAAAAAGAAAAAAAAGAACAGTGGGTAGTGACTGTCCCTATCAGAAATTATAACACTTTTTTAAAAAATATATCTTTATTGGTTTCAGAGAAGGGAGAGAGAGAGAGAGAGAGAGAGAGAGAGAGAGAGAAACATCAGTGATGAGAGAGTTGTCATTGATCAGCTGCCTCCTGCACGCCACCGACTGGGGATCGAGCCTGCAACCCAGGCATGTGCTCTGACCAGGAATCGAACTGCGATCTCCTGGATCCTTGGTTGACTCTCAACCGCTGAGGCACGCTTGGCTGGGCTGGAAATTATAACACATTTTAACCTCTCAATGATCACAACATTGTTACAAGTAAGTAAAAAGAGATGGGACAATGAAAGAGGACAGAAAACCCATATAAAAGCCCAAATACATATGGGAATTTAGTATAGGATAAATTATGGCATTTCAGTCAGTGGGAAAAGAGAGGCTGGTTATTTAATTGTGCTGGAAAAAATAAAACCAAAGTTGATTTATATCTCTTACTGCGCACCATAATAAATTTCTGTGGATCAAATATTTGTCTAAAATACCATAAAACCATAAAAATACTTGAGCAAAGTATGGGCAAATTCTTCTTTTAACTTCAGAGGGGGAAGGCATTTGTAACTATGGATCAAAATGCAGAAGCCTTAAAACAGAGACTAACATATTCGACCTCATAAACTATATATAAATTTTTTCTGCATAGCAAGAAAAGAGCCAAAGATAAAAAAGCTGGAAAATTTTTTGTAGCACTAGTGAAGAGCTATTCTGTGTAATAGCTAAAAGAACTTCTATAAAATAGTTCGAAAAGACCAACAACCCAGTGGAAAACTGGTGAATGAGTATGAAGACATAGTTCACAGAAAGGGAAATTCAAATGGCTCCTAAATATATAAAAGAATGCAGTGTCTCAATAGGAAAAATGTAAATTACAACTTTTTTCATCTATCAGATTGGCAAAAATTCAAAAGCGTGATAATGCTTTGTGTTGATGAGGATGTGGGGAAATGGATGTTGCTGGTGGGAATGTAAATTCCTCAACCCCTATGGAAAGTCAGTTGGCAACCTCTCTCAAAAGTACAAATGCACAGGGTCCTTGACCCAACAATTCCACTTCTAGGATTTATCCTACAAATACATGTGACACACACATAGAAAATGGTAAGTGCATAAGGTTCTCGGCTGCAGCATGTAACGGGGCTGACAGATGCAGCCCTCCTCGCAGGTGGAGGGAACTTTGGTGTCCTTGCACTGGCCTTCCAGGTCCCAACAGGAAGGTGAGCAGAAGGGAATGCAGGTTGTGTGGGTGCTGTGGGTGGGGCATTCCCGAGCTGGGGAAGAGGGGATGGGGTTAAAGACTTAGTGATCCTTGGCTGTGCGCCAGGGCCCAAAGGAAGGAAGGGAGAAAAATGGCACTCTCCCAGTTCAGCTTGGGAGACAAAAGATTGGGAACAACTAGCAAGTCCATCAATAGGAGAGTGTTAAATAAATTATGATAAATGAATTATAATAATGGAATACTACTCAGCTACAAAACAAAGTGAGATGTGGCTATCTGACATGGAGGAGAATATCTGATATGGTAGGATCTCCAAGTTAGATTAAGTGAAAGACAATGAAATGCAAAATACTGTGTCTCAAATGCTAAATGTAAGAAAATAAGGAAAGTAAACTTGTATTTTTTGTATGTGCATAAATAAAAGAGCTTTGTAAAAATACTGAGATGCTGATAAGAGCAGGCCAGGAACTAGACCCATGGGGTAAGGGTGGGAGGGAGACTTCATTGGGACCCTTTTAATACTTTTAAAGTTTTGAGCCATATGAATGCATCACATACTAAAAACACTGTAATCACTCTTTTAAATTTTAAAAGGTTCAGGAATTATATAGTGGTGATGGTTGCAGAACCTTGTGAAGATCCTAAAAGCCAGTGGTATACACTTTAAAAGCCAGCCTTATACGCTTTAAAGGAATGAATATTGTGGTATGTGATTAATCTCTTTTTTCAAATTCTAAAGAGAAGCATGCCTAGAAGTCTGCCAGGAGGGGAGAACTTTCCAGTGTATAAAGGAGCAGTGTGTATAAAATCAGGGAGGGGTGTGGAAAAGCAAGGCCTGTGTGGAGAATGGGGTCATTTGGTGCAGGTGATGGCAGGTGCTCAGGAAAGGGGTGAGCAAGGAGAGGCTGGGGCAGTGTGCAGGATATCGTACATCTCAGACAGGAGCTTGGACTTAATCTTGCAAGTAACAGCCACGCAGGGGAGTAAAAGGCTCACCTATCCTTTGGAGAGACAGTGTTAGTGAAGTAGATGAGGAGCAGCCCATGCTGTCCCGGTGGGAAGGGCATGGTCTAAGGGGTTATTGTAAACAGTGCTCCTCAGAGACAGTGAGGTAAGAAATAGGTCAGAAATAATTGGAAAGGAGAACAGGGTAGCTTTAAGGGATCCACAGGCAGAAACAGGGTTTGGGAACTATTTGGGGTAACCATAGGAGACACTCACGGCAGAAACTGCTGTTTCTCCAGATTGGGGGCTCGAGACCCTGGGCCTGGCAGGCGGTCCCAAAGGCTTCCAGAGACTCGCAGAGGACATGGTTTAGGCCTCTAAACTCACAAAGGTTGTGCATACAATCCAGCAGAAAGGGCGTAATGTCTACGTGGGTGGCACACTTAGTCCAAGCTGGGGCCTCAAAGGCCAGTTGGCATTGCTCCAGGGCTCTCACTAGGTGAGCTGGGTTGCAGTTTGCAGTCTGAGTCTCCTGATATTCTGTGATGGTCTTCATCTGCTTATGTATTTTGTGATCTTGTTGGCAACTGGGAAGGGAAAGGGGTCATCATAGGGACAGCCACTGCCCCGCTTATAAAAATTATTTGGTGCACCGAAAAGACATCTCAGCTTCACTGGGAAGCTGTTTGTTTGTGTGTTTTGTTTTGTTTGTGTGTTTTAAATATAACTATTGATTTCAGAGAGAAGAAGGGAGAGGAAGAGAGGGAGAGAGAAACATCAATGATGAGAGAGTCAATGATTGGCTGCCTCCTGCACACCCCCTACTGGGGATCGAGCCCACAACCTGAGCATGTGCCCTGACTAGAAATCAAACCCTGATCTCCTGGATCATAGGCTGATGTTCAACAACTGAGCCACACCAGCCAGGCAGGGAAGCTGGTTTGAGTTCTGGCCACCTTCCATGCAGCCTCGGTTCCCTCCCATGTTTTGAAGCCAAGAATAGAAGAGTTGTATGTTTCCCCAAATAGGTTCCCAGAACCCAGGAACCATTCCCAGTCGAGTTACACACATAAAGGAAGTGCTCTGATCATGTGGCACTCCCAGGTGTGCCACCTGATCTAGAATCCCAATTCATGTTCCTATGAAAAGGCAGAAGGATATGGGAACAATTACTTTGGGTGGGCCTCTTTATCTTGCCAACTCTCCACAAACTCAATGTCATTCTGGGCTAGCTCATCACTCGGCATCATCAGTTCATCCTCCTCCTCACCATTGAAGTTTCCGCAAATGCCACAGACCTGGGTGGGCAGAGGGAGTCTCAGCATGCAGGGGCGGGGGCGGGAAAGCACTTCTCATTGGCACCCCCTTTTCCATTCTAAAGAGAAAGGAGCACTCAGCATCCCTCTTGTGTTCTGGGGAGTGACCTCTTGGGTGTAAGGGCCCACCTCTTTAGGGGTGGGGGTGGGGGCTGACTCCTCTAAGAGAAGAGCCAGGTGTTTTCCTCACCTTTTCATAATAGGCTCTAGGAATTTCAACCTCTAAGAACCCACTGCCATCAAACTCGACTTTCAACCCAATGTAAAAGTGGAGTACGGTGTAGATGCCACTAGCAAAGATGCTGACACCCCGGATCTTGTTTCTCGAGGGAAGGGTGACATGTTTGCCATTGATCTACAGAGAAGAGCAGGGCACATGAGTAGGAAGAAGGACCAGAGAGCCCCCTCCCCAGCCCGTGCCGCCCAGCTCACCAGTACATGGTGGTTCTTTTGCAGGGTGACCACAGAATCAAAGATGCTAATGTTGACCTGGTGGAGGTAGAAAGGAGGGAATCGGCCTTTCCTCTTCTCATTCTTGACACTAATCTTGAAGAAAGGCAGGTCCATGGTGAAGTGGCATGTTTTCACCAGGACATAACTACAGGCTCTCCTGATGGCATGGTAACTACCATCAAAGCTCACATAGTAGGAGCTGTCTGAGATCCGGCACACTCCCATACCTGCAGGAGAGAGAGGTGGCTGAGGAGTGCCCAGCCTCAACCAAGAACAGGCATTCTCCTCACCTTCAGGGCAAGGATGTGAAGGCAAGGGCGCCTCCAAAGGAAAGGAAGACAAAGTAAAGAAAAGAAACAAGGGCTAGACTGGTATGAGGCTTAGGAATAGAAAGGGTATTATTCTGCCAGAGAGAGACTTTTAATGTCTCATTTATCTAAGTTCACATCCGCCATGGGACAACCATGAGTGACTGCAAAGAGCCCTTCCCGAGAGACAGTGCAATGGTCATCTTTCCCCACCAGAAGCTGTTCGGCATAGAGGGGCCGCTAACTGGAGTGCTACAGATGACAGTGAGGAGAGTATACGGGGACACTGGGAAGAGCCCATCTTGGTTGCTGTGGGGTCCTCCTGCATTCTCAGTGGCCTCATACCTCCAGTCCGGCAGCGTATCAGCCCTTTCAAGGGTGCGCACTTTTCACTAGGCTTGCAGGAGGTTTGGTGGCAGGAGATGTTGTGGGTGGAGCAGGAGCAGAGCCTGGAGCAGGTATTGTCTGTGTACCAGCTCTCCCCAACCTGTGGGGCGTGGGCATGCAATAGAAACTTGGAAGCTGGAGACAGACTGGGTCCTGATGACCTGGAACTCCCCATGAGGCTTGCTTCACTCAGTGATTACCTCCCTCACTACCCTCTCTCAGCCTTTTGGCTCTGGGCTTACTCCTCAGCTCCCAGTACTGGCCTGCCTTACTCCTTCTGCCCCAAACTTGTAGAACTTGGGAGGGCAGGGCACCCCTTGTGGCCTGGCCTCTCACCGGATAGTAGGAGCCCTTTGGGTCAGTGCAGCCACATTTGCTGAAGGGCACGCAGGAAGTTCCACTCAGGACATGGCCTTTTTGGCACTCGCAGCCCTCAGCACAGGGCAATGCTGCTGGGCAGTCTGGTGGGGTGTTCAGGGTGAGGCAGGTGGCTGGGCAAGGGTTGGCACAGGGGCTGTAGCTGCTGCCAGATGGGCACTTCAGAGCTAAGAAGAAACTAGTGTTAGTGAGGGCTGAGTGATTTCCAGCTCCCTGACCTTGGGGCATCAAGAATTCCTGGGAATGTTTATCAGATGAACAGATAAACAAAAAGGGGTCAATCCAGACAATGGAGTAGGATTCAGCCTTAAAAAGAAGGAAATTCTGACACATACTACAACATGGATGAACCTTGAGTACATTATGCTAAGTGAAACAAGCCAGTCATAAAAAGACAAATACATGAGGTCCCTAGAGTAGTCAAATTCATAGAGACAAAGAAGAGAATAGTGAGTGCCTGGGGTTAGGATGGGGGGAATGAGAAGTTAGTATTTAAAGGGGACAGAGCCCGGCCAGGGGTGGCTCAGCGGTTGAGCATCGACCTAGGATCCAGGTGACTGGGGTTCGATTCCCGGTCAGGGCATATGCCCAGGTTGTGGGCTGCAACCAATCAATGACTCTCATCATTGATGTTTCCATCTCTCTCTCTCCATCTCCTTTCCTCTCTCTGAAATCAATAAAGATATATTAAAAATAAAATATTTAAAGGGGACAGAGTTTCAGTTTGGGAAGATGAAAAACATTCTGGAGATGGATGGTGGTGATGATTGCACAGCAATGTGAATGTATTAGTGCTATAGAACTGGACACTTAAAAATCTTTAAAATGGGAAATTTTACATTATGCATATTTTACGACAATTAAAAAAAAAAAAAGAATTCCTGGGAAAGACAGGAAGAAAGGGAACAGAGCTAGCCTAGGTAAGAGGGGAAAGATGGAATAACCAAATGAGGGCAGAACTTTTTGGTAAGGTGAGAATCAGATGGAGGAGGATGCAGTAGAGGATGAAGGTTGGGCTTGGAGAGACTGGAAAGTAGAGAACAGAGGAGGTTCCCTGTAGGGACTGAGAACCAGGCTGTGAAGGGAACAGAATTTAGGGAAAGGAGGAGAGGACAAGGTTCAGGGGGGAGGGGGTGTCCTCCAGGCTGCAGGAGTGCTGGTCAGGTCACTCACGGCAGAAGGTGCTGTTCCGCCAGGCAGGGGGATGGCCGGCCTGGGCACACAGGGATGCATAGGCCTGCAGGGAGCGGCACAGGGTCAGGGCATCACCCTTGGTCCCACATTGGCCATGCACGCAACTGGAGAAGCTGGAATGTGGGGGTACCACGCTGTGACACTGGGAGAAGGGTCCTGGAGGATGAAACCACAGGTGAGAGAGAAGAGCAGAAGCCTGGAAGGGGAGCAGAACCAGGCAGCTGCTTGGGGCAAATTTGACATCTATTTCCAACAAAGCCTGTATTTACTGAGAACCTACTTCCCGAGATGCAAAAAAAGGCTTATCCTTCAGGCTCCCAAGAAGAGGTACACTGCCTCTGTATTTCCACCTGCTTTCCTCCTGACATCCTGTCCATTTCATGTCTCACTCTTCCTCCCCCCGACCAGTCTTCCCCCTCTTTCTCCTGCCCTGGGGCCAGCAGGGAATGAGGCTTACCCAGAGGGTTGATTAAGATATTACAGTTCTTATTCCAGGTGTCTGCCACTTGATTCTCCTGGCATCTGGGAGGTTTGGCACCCCCGAAGAAGCAGCTAAACAAAAAGAATGGGAAAGGATAGGAATTTAAGGTTGGAGGAAACGTCCCAAAAACTGAAACAAAAGTGGAGAGAAAATGAGGGATGTGAATAGAACAGGAGAAGAGAACAAAGTGCTGCCCTCAAGTAGGAAGGTCAGAAGATACAGCAGGAAGGAAGGTTGGCTCTCAGTGTAGAACCAAAAGGTTCTCCAAAGAGACAGGTCAATAAGCACAGGAGAAGTCAGCAGGCAGGGACACGGGAGGTCCAAACAACCTTTCATCAAACCCAGTCTGGGAGAGATTGGGGACACAGAGGACACCTGCGGCTGCCTACTGAGGCTCTTCCCCAAGTCCATCTCCCCATGCCTGGCACCCCCTATTCCCAGCTCACCTAGCTTCAGAGTATTCATTTGACTTCCAGGCAACCCCTAGTTCAATGGAGCTGCCTGCAGGCTTTCCATCTGGTTTCAGATTGTCATCTGAGCTGTTGTTGTTGTAGTTTCCTGGAGGAGGGAGCAGTTAACAGAGGCCACAGAAGTGCTCTGCAAACAGATCCAGCCCCAGGACCACCACTTTCCTTCCCCCAAGAGGCTCCTTCATTCTGCACTCCACAGGCCAAGGTTAACTTTTTCTTCACCTTGAGTTTCCCTTAACACTCACCCTCACACCCAAAGCCCTCCACCCATGAAGCGGTGGATAAGCATTTAGAACACCTAATTAAGTGTGTGTATAGGCAAGGAAGAGCCTGTTGTCCTTGCTTTGCCTGCAGGTGCCCAGGGAACTCACCGCACATCCCGCAGAGACTGCCAGAATAGGTGGACGGCACGGTCACCTTGACCAGGTGGTTCCCATCATAGCGAACTTGAAGCCCAAAATCCGTGTAGAGGAGAATAAAAGAGCCACTGGGCCTAATGCTTACCCGACCTTGTTCAGGCCACACAGGCAGGGTCACCCGGTGACCATTCAGCTACAAAAGCGGGGAGGACATGGTAGAGAAAGGCATTTGAAACAAGGATAACAAGAGGACCACGACAGAAGCTGGAGTGGGGCAGGGGGTGTGTCTCAGGAACTGGGGCTAGGGCTGCTGTGGAAATCCCAGGGGCTCTGGAGGCCAGCCAGGCAGGTCTGCAGGCAAGGAGGGGCAGAGTAGAGGTTCTGAGGAGGCTGGTGGTGTGAGGCCCCGGGAGGTAGGCAGAGGCACGTACCACAACCTTGTGGCCTTTGATCAGCGAGATTCGGAGTTTGAAGACCTGTATGTGGACAGCTGTCACATGGGAGACCTCCAAGTTCCCACCTTGGAACTCATTGGTGGAGCTCACAACAAAGTTGTTGAACCAGCTCAGAAAGCAAGTCTGGGTGAGGGTGTAGCTGCAGGTGCCCGTGAAGTGGTGCACTGCTCCGTCGAATGTCAGGTAGTGGGGATCACCTGAGACAATGCAGGTGGCAGATTCTGGGAGAGAGGAGATGGAGTTCAGAGGTTCGCTAACCCTGAGGTTTCATCCTGGTGAGTCCACATTGGAGTAGTCACCATAACTCATCGGGTGGTGAGCTCGGCTTGGAGAGGTCAAGAACAGGGACTACCCCAACCTCACTCTCTGGGTCCTTGGAGACACTGCTCCAGTTCTAGGCAACTGCCTTCCAGCCCCTGCATATGCTCCAGCTCTCTGGGGAGCCTGCTTTAGGGCAAGGTCATGCCCTTGCTTGAGGCTACATGGGCAGCCCCACTGCTCACCTTCCACCTGACTGCTCACCCTTGGCATGGCAGCCATAGATGCCATCCTGAAGACTACAGATCTCCAGAGGTCGGCACTCCCAGAGAGTACAGCGAATTTTGTTGTTGCCCTCACAGATACAGAGCTGTCTGCAGTCTGGCGCAAACCACTGCTGCCCTATCTGGAGGAAGAAAGGAAGGAAGAAAAAGAGGTTATTCCTGAGTCTGACTATTAGCCCACTGCTATTCAGACTATTGGCTGCTCACTGGGGAGGCATTCCTGTCTTAGGATTAGTTGTAAAAGTCTGGCATTCACTCACTAATCCAATCATTCCATCATCTGTTTGTCCCTTCACTATTTCAACAGATATTTATGTCTGCATGGTGCCAGGCATTAGGAATTCAGAAATGAACTGGATGGACGATGTCCCTGCCCTAAGAGAACTCATGAGCCAGTGGGGGCAGTAAATAAGTCAATTGATAGATCACATCATGTGCTCCAAGACAATATTCACCCAAAGAAGACAAACAGGGCACCCAGTGAGCGTTTCCTGCCATCAACGCAGACAGTCAGTGCTGGCTACAAGAATTTAGAAGGGTGCTTTCTGACTTTGCCTATCAAGAAGGCTTCAAGGAGGAGGCAGTATTTCAACAGGGCCTCAAAGAAGGTGAAGAATTCCAAGAGACATGGTGGCTGGGTGGCTGAAGGCAGAGCAGGGTAAAAGGGGCTGAAAAGAAGGTAAAATTGAGAAGAAAGCAAAGCATAGACAGAGAGCGTTCAGTAGACCTAGAACGAGGGACAAGGGGAGGAGATCCAAGAGGATCTCAGGTGGTAGATGGCTTTGACAGACATCAGTGTCATTTCCAGGACTTGGTTGAAAGGCCAAGAAGGAAGAGAGAAGCTACACAGATGAGGGTCTGGCTCCAAACGCTGCCCCTGAGAAAACTATGAAGATAGGGGCCCAGGAGGGAGCCGAAGTCCTTCAGCAGAGAAAGGGGCCTTGGTAAGAGAGAAGGTGGTATTTGGAAAGAGTACAGAGAAGACCCAGATGCCATTAAATGACTCAGGGACATAGAAGCAGGGAAGATAGGGGAGAGAAGGAGGGGTCTCAGGCTCTGCCAGGGAGTGTAAGCAATAACCGTTATGATTCCATCCCTGTCTGCTTGAAAAGTACTAGAGCTGAAAAAAGAAAAAAGGAAATGAGATCTAAGCCAGAATTTCCCTAATCCCAGCCCTTGCAGGCCCTGCCACACCCCCTTCTCTCTTGCTGCAGACTTCAGATCCCGGAGGAGGGCTTTCTGGCTGCATGGCTAGGAGGCCCAGCCCCAGCGGCTCACCATGATGTATCTGCCCGTGGAGTCAAGGCACCCACACTGGGATTGGGGGACGCACTGGAGACCACTGAGGATGAAGCCGGGGTTGCACTCACAGCCCTCCACGCATCGGCCTTTGCATGACATGCCAAAGAACTTGGAATGGCAGGTGTTGGGGCACGGCTTGGCACATATGGTGTATTTGCTGTTGGGTGGGCAGTCCAGAGCTGGTGGAGGGAGAAGCACAGGTGGAAAGGGCATGAAGTAGGCTGAGGACAAGAGAAAGAAGGTCCATAGGCAGTTCAGAGTCCAGAGTTCAGAAGGCCCACAGCTGGAGGCTTCTGTCCATGTTGAGAAGAAGAGAGGAACTGGGAGAAGCATGACTGAGGAGCTCAGCTTCCACCTTAAGCCTGGAGGAGAGGCCTGCAGGGAGCTACCAAGAGGCAGGTCTGTGGGAGCAGACTGATCCAAGAACCTCAACAGTGCTGCTGTGTAGACATGCCCAAGGTAAATGGTCAAGGTGGAAGGAGAGCTGGGGGACCACCAATGTGGCCTTGATTAAGGGCACAGCCCCACCCTTAAAGCAGGTTCCCTAGAGAGCTGGGCCATAACCAGTAGCTGTGGGGCAGTTATGGGGCAACCTCCCAGCCACAAGTGTGAAGTTTATGTGTGCATCAGGCAACCCGGGCAGGTGTACACCCATAGGCATTGCTCTGCGTAGCCTCAGGCAGCTGAGAAGGCTTTCTGAGTTTACAAGTGACTGATTTTCTCAGTGGATATTTCTGACTGCAAATTTCCCTGTCCACATGTGGAAGTGAAGGGGTTCAACCAGGTGCCCCTAAGCCTGTGCTAATATTCTTAGATGCCGGCCCTCTGTTCCCATATGTGTCTGAAGGAAGCATCCCCCCACCCACCCCCGCTTCTTGGCACAACTCACAGCAGAACTGGGGTCCTCTCCAGGGCTTCACCTTGTAGCCAGCCTCCTGGCAGGCCTCAGTCAAGGCTGCCATATGGGTACACAGCATCTGCTGCAGCCCCTGGTAGTTACACATGTCAAACATGCAGTTGTTGAAGAAGAAAGAGGTCATAAGGTGAGGCAGACACGCCCTGTGGAGAGAGGCTAGGTTGGAGGGACTGAGGGGGCAGAGAGGGCAGAGCTTCCTGCCTTGGAGGGCCCCAGGTGCCAAGCCCCACTCCACACCCATCCTGCCCCCTTCATACTCAAAGACTCCATGGGAGACTATGATCCGTCCACAGAACTCTGGCCCCGATAGAGTGTTCCGCAAGGTTGAGTTGCAAGATGGGGGATTTGCCTTGTTCTGGCACCTAGAAGAGACCCACCCCAAATGCCCTAAGGGCCAAGGCTTGCCTCCATTTGGCCCCTACCCCAGCAGTCTCCTGGCTCCCAGCAACCCCTAGTAGAGAACACTTGAACACCAAGCCCTAAAGGAGATAGGAAAACCTTGGCTTGACAAGCAAGACGGGTTTGCTCACAATTGCCTGAGGACCATTGATGGATGGTAAGGCTGAGCATGTTGGTAATGAGTTCGTGGACTTGGCTGGAACAGAAGTGGGGGTGTGCAGAAGGAGAGAGAAGAGAAAAGGGGTGATGCCAATAAGGGTGTTTGGTTCTAAAAGGGGCAAAGGAGGAGGAGGGTAGTGGCAGAAATGGAGACATCCTCACTCACTGCTTGACCATATCTTCTGCTGTCTGCCATCTGTTGCCCAGTCTCCCCTCATCTGGTGTTTGCTTGCCATCAAACATCCGGTTATTGTTTTTACTTGTGCTACTGTCGCTGTTTTCATAGTTGCCACAGAAAGCACAAAATTTGCTAGAGTAGCTGCTGTTGGAGGGCAGGGTGAGAAGGAAGCATTAATGGAAAGAAAGGGCCTTAGTCCCCTGAGGGACCACAGCGGAGGGGGATGAGTGGGTGTGTTGGTAGAGTTCATGGACTTGGTTGGGACGTAAGTGGGGGGGAGTGCAGAAGAGAGAGGAAATAAAAGGTGATGCCAGTCAGGGTGCTTGGTTCTGAAAAGGGACAAAGGAGCAAGAGGGTGGTGACAGAGATGGAGACATCCTCACTCACTCCTCGTGTACATCCTCTGCTGTCTGCCAGCTGTTGCCCAGATGCCCCTCATGTCGTGCCGGCCTGCCATCAGGCATCTGGTTGTCATTGCTGCTGTCACCATCATAGTTGCCACAGAGACCACAGAGCTTGCCATAGTAGGAGCTGCAGGGGGCAGAGTGAGGAGATGTTAATGGAAAGAAGGGGCCTTAGTTATCTGAGGAGAGTGGATGAGCGTCATCACAGCAGAGTGGATGAATGATGCAGGCAGAGAAGTAAGAGCTGCAGACTCCGATCAGGGGTTCCATGCCAGGTGTCAAGCACACAAGGATCTCACGGCCCTCACCCCCAAGCTATCTTTACAGTCTCCCCTCCCTTCTTTCTTTTGCTTACATCTCATCTTCCAGCCATAGCAAACCTTTTTCCCCCCATTGATTCCAGAGAGAGGAAGGGAAAGGGGGAGAGAGAGAGAGAGAAACATCAATGTGAGAGAGAAATATTGATCCGTTGCCTCCTGCATGCACACACCCCGACCAGGTATCTAACACCCAACTTGGGTATGTGCCCTGATTGGGAACTGAACCTGCAACCCTTTGGTACATGGGACACCACTCGAACAAACTGGACCGCACTGGCCAGGGCCATAATAAACGTTTTGCTGGCCCTAAGACGTTTCAGTTTTTTCTTGCATTTGCTGTTCACTAGTTCTATAAAGTCTTTCTTTCCCTTGTGAGCCACTCTTTCTTGAAGACTGGGATCAAGTGATCACTCTTCTGAAAGCTCCCACAGCCCATTAGTGACTCCTTCTAGCACATTCTCAAAACATTGTGAGCATACCCTGCTATTATCCAATGCCCTGAAACCATTTCCTCCTGTCTCCTCATCCAAAGGGAGGCCTGCCTGTTGAGCTAGGTGCTTCCTACCTACACTAAGAATTAGTGCCTGGAATGGAAGGGGAAGAGGGCTGCAGGGTCCTTGGAGAGGGAGGGGCAGAGTGGGGAGAAGTGGCAGCTGCCTCACCTGGGCACAATTATAAACAGCTGCTGGTCACCATCCCATCTCACCCGCAAACCAAACGCAGTCTGCAGCTCCACAAATCGCCCACTTGGAGCCAGGAAGATGCCTTCAGAAGGTATGGTTGGGAGGGTGACTTGATGACCCTCAACCTGGAAAGTGAGGCCGAGAAAAGAGACAGAGAGACAGATCCGAGGGTCAGGAAGACCCCCAGAATGCTCCCACATTCACCTCCCACAGCAATCCTAAGGACATCTTCACTTGAGTGCCCTGGAGCCCGACCCTGAGAGGGTCTGGAGGCTGCAAGAACCGGCCAGGACAAGGCTGCAGCGGCCCGAAGGTGGCCCCAGCAGAGGCGAACAAAAGCCGGACTCACCAGCGTGCGCCTGCCACTGAGCAGGGTGATGGTGGTCTCAGGCAGCGTCACGTAGACTTTGCTCAGGCAAGATGTGCCTTGCTGTCCTCGCTCCTCATTCTTCACTGCCACCCTGAAGAAGGGCTCTGGTTGGGGAGAGGAGGGAAGCGTGCCCAGGAACTCATTCAACAAGAATTTCTGAGCACCCACCGGGAGAGGCACCCATATCTGGCACTGCGGGGGTAAAGGACCGCAGAGGCGCTGGCTCTGCAGTTCAAGAGGGAAGCCAAGATCCATATGAGGATGGGGCGTGACTGTCTGCCTCTTCCAGAACAGTCTGTCACTGTGTGCCGCCAATCCATCTCCCCTCAGTGGACTGGAAGCTGTGCCACTTCTCTCATCCTTATAGTGCCACTCTGCCCGGTGAGCCTCTCAATAAAAGCTGGCCAAGGAGCCCAGCCGGGCGTGGCTCAGCGGTTGAGCGTCCACCTAGGGATCGGCGTTCGATTCCCGGTCAGGACACATGCCCAGGTTGCAGGTTGCGGGCTGCAGCCGATCAATGACTCTCTCATCATTGATGTTTCTATCTCTCCCTCTCCCTTTCTCTCTGAAATCAATAAAGATATATTTAACAAAAGAAAAAAATGGAAATACATAACATTTGCATTGTTATTAAGTGACGAGAGATGACCTATTCACTGACTTGCCATAGCTCTGATCTAGTAGAGGAAAGCAAAATATACATGTAGTCAAAAATACCCCGGGCTGTTTATGCGTAATACACTACTTAATTAGATTTAGATGAATTTAGTGCAAGCCAGACAGACAAGTACAAGTAAGTGATCAAAATGAGTGATGGAAATGAAAAGTCAAAGCAAATTTCCAGCTGTACGTGCAGGCATGTTTCAAGCTGTACGTNAACAAAAGAAAAAAGAAACTATTAAAAAAAAAAAAAAAAAGCTGGCCAAGGAAGCAACTGATAAAGTGTCTTGGCCAAATCAAGGTTCAGTCAGCCAGAAAGAAATGTGGGGGTGGCTGCAGGGCCACAGTGAACAGTGTCTCCACACAAATTGAAATAAATCTTCAGCTTTTTATATGTTACAATTAACACATGCTATTTAATTTAGTTACTGGAAGGACACAAGAGAGATAAATTCAAGAATGGCATTGTGTTATTAACCAATGTCACTTCAATAAAGTCAATAAAAAGAAATTGCCAGAAAAAAAAAAGAATGGCATTGTACATGCTAGGGTTGGAGACTGAAGTATAAGCACCATTGGTTTTGTCTGAGTGCAAAGCCTAATATCTTTTTTTATATATATATATCTCTTTATTGATTTCAGAGAGAGGAAAGGAGAGGGAGAGAGAGAGATAGAAACATCAATGATGAGAGGGTCATTGACCGAGCCTGCAACCAGGCATGTGCCCTGACCAGGAATCGAACCCCAATCTCCAGGATCCTAGGTCGACGTTCAACCGCTGAGCCACGCCTGGCCAGGCCAGCAAAGCCTACTATCTTTTCTCGCTCTTTTTATAATAAAAGACTCTATATCTCTTAAAAGGTATTTGTTGAAAATTATGATTATACTTTATATTTCAACATTAGGTTTTGAAATTTTAAAGCCGTCTTTGATTTGTTGTATAAGCACTTTAATCAAATGCATGCAACTTCCCAAACTGAGGAAGGTCCTTTGACGTGAATGTGCAGAATTTTTATCATCTTATGTGCCTGGTGAACCTAAAATGCTTGAGTTTTAATTTTTTTTTTTGTATATGTGCTGCCAAAGTGAATACTAATTTTTCATTTTGAAATAATTTCAGACTTACAGGAATGTTGCAAAAATAGTACAAAGCGTTCCAGGACAGCCTTCACCCAGATTTTGCAAATGTTAACATTTTACCCTATTTGCTTGGTCACTTTCTCTCAATCATTCCCTCACTGCTCTGCCTACTTATTATTTATCTATCATCTATCTATCTATCTATCTGTCTGTCTGTCTGTCTGTCTGTCTATCTATCTATCTATCTATCTATCTATCTATATCATCTATCTATCTATCATCTATCTATATCATCTTTATCATCTATCTATCTATCTATCTATCTATCTATCTATCTATCTATCTATCTACCTATCTATCATCTTTATCATCTATCTATCTATCTATCTATCTATCTATCTATCTATCTATCATCTATCATCTATCTATTTATCTATCATCTATCTATCATCTATCCTCTGACACATCCTAGGTAAAAAAGAGAGAGAAAAGTGTCTACGGTGCATTTTCCCCAGTAGCCTGGTCTTGAGAAAGGCCTGCTTCGAGGTAGACATGTCAGCCCTTACTTTTCTTGCCCTTCCCATTTGTCCCCATACCCAACTGTTCTGTCAGACCCCCTGCCCAGGCCATAGGGGCATCTCCAGGACTCTACCTGTCGAGTTGCCACAGGATTGGGCCAAGATGTAGGTACATTTGCCCATGAAGCTAAAGTGCCTCCCATCAAAGGTGAGATAATAAGGATCTCCATAGACAGAGCATGTAGCAGTGCCTGCAGAGGGAAGAAAGGGGACCGTGGGAAGCAGGTTCACCATGCTAGGTCCCAGAGCCACCTTACCCACCCAGTGACACACCTCAGCTTCTCTCATCAAGTGAAGGATTAGAACCCTGATGTCACACCCACTCTGAAAGGCTGGCAGGTGGGGACAGAATAAGGGGAGGGTCTCACCATAGGGGTGACATCCATATTCTCCGTTCTTCAGCCGGCATGCTGTGTGTCTCCCGCACTGAGAGCTCTGGCACTCCATCCCACTGCCAGGCCAGCAGTAACAATGTTTTGTGCAATTGGGGCTGACCCACACTGCTCCAGCCTGGAAGCAAGGGATCAGGGGTCACAACACTATATAGCTCTTGGGTAGATCCTGTCATTCCATGCCACAGCCCCCTTGTACTCCACTGCACCTGCCCTAACCTTGCTCATACTTTGCTCTTCCCACACCCTACTAGATATTCCTGCCAACCACAGGACATTTGCACATGCTGTTCTCTCACTCTGGAATGCTCTTCCTTCTCCCTCTTTCAAAATCATTCTTAGGCACCAGCAGGTTCAGTTCAAGGGACACTACTTTCTCAGGAAGACTTTCCAGACCTCCTCAACTAGTCCTCCTCATAGCTCTGGGTATCTTTCCTTCCCAGGACTTACCACAATTGCACTTTTATATTTATTTTGAGGCTTATTTGATTATAAACCCCCTGTGGGGGACCATGTCTATCTTTATCCACTACCTTAGCCCCAACACATAGCACAGTTCCTGGCAGAGAGCTCTCATTCAATAAATACTTGCTGAATGAGACTGACCCAAGATCCAATATGTCCCAAAGAGTCCAACAGTATTAGAAGAGCAAGGACCATGCCCTATTCATGGTGACCTCAATGCCAGGAGGGTTCAAAGTACTCAATAAACCTTAATTGAAAAAAATTCATTGAATGCATAAGTGAATATATAATAAGTTAATACATGTCTCCCAGGGCAGGGAAGAGATGCTTGATGCTGACAGCTGTAACAGATCTTTCTACCCAGGCTGCAGCTGAAGCTAATCCTAACAGTGACACAGGGACTGGTGAAGGGAGGTGGGGTAGGGAGGAAGTAGACCCCTAAGAGACAAGTAGGAACTCTGACAACCCAAAGGAAGAACACCTGAAGCTGTGAAGAGGCACTGCACACTAATAAATAGCTGAAAAGCACTGTTAATTACTAGACTGCATGTGATAGTTATCAGAAACTGCTAATAATAATAATTAACACTTATTAAGTAATTAGTCTGTGTCAGGATCTAATTTCTTCTCACAACCATCTTATGAAATAGAAAATCTTATTGTGCATATTTTATAGATATGAAAACAGATTTTAGGAGGTAAAGAACCTTGCCCAAGGTCACCCAGCAAAGTGCTAGAGCCAGGATTCAAGCTCAGATTAGCCACATCAGCCACGTGTCCACTGAGCTCTTGAAATGTGGCTGGTCTAAATCAGATATGCTGTAGCGTAAAATATACACTGGGTTTTGTAAACTATTAGTATGAAAAAAAGGAATGTAAACAATCATTAACAACTATTGATTACATGTTGAAATGAGAAGATTTGGGATTGAGCAGATATTGGTATTAGTTTAACCTGTTTCCTTTTATTTTTTAAAATGTGTCTATTAGGAAATGTAAAATGATGTATGGCTTGAATGTAATCCATTTTGGACAGTGCTGGCCCAGAGCCTGTTCCCCTTCAGCACCTCTGCTCTTGACAAATGTCCCCCCAGGGGGTCATCAATGAGGGGAGACAAGAACAGTAACTCCTCTTTTTTGACCTATCTTATCCGGATTTGCAAATTACTTTGGAAGATTCTGGAATACCATATTTTGCCCTGAACATGCCAAAAGCTCGACTCAATGTCCAGGGCTCTCTATATATACAGGGACCTCGGACTTTCCTCAGGTTTGAGATGAGGGCCCTGCATTACCTGGTTGGTCTAGTCTCTAATGCATCAAGGCTGCCGGTATGGAACAGAGAAGTACAGAAATATCAAGACTGTTAGGAGCACTTAGCACAGGACCACGGGATAATGAAATTGTCTGCATAGCCTAGCATCATGTCTGGTCAAAGTGGGTGCTTAACAAACAGACAAGACAATCAAAACCACAACCTGAATGAATGACTCCACCATTCTGTAAGCACTGCTTGAGAGCTGACCCTTTAGGACTGTGTCGTGGATCCAAATTCATCTCACCAGGGAAGGAGATGGAACCAGAACCCCAGGTGTTCCTCTTGCAATCTCCCTCAGGGGGCCTGGGCATCCCAGTGGTCTTACCTTATAGTAATTATTGTTGTAGAAACAGTAACAGGAAGAGGCATTAACACATTTGGAGTCACTAAACAAAAAGCCAGAATTGCAGACACAGCCGGGCTTGCAGACGAGCTCGCAGTTGGGCTTGGGGTTCCGGCAGGATGCCAGGCAGGCGCACGGTTCATAGTGGGCATTTGGGGGGCAGTTTTCTAAAGGGAAAACAGCCTCCATCAAGCCTCCACTCTACGGCGTCCCTCAGGGAGACTTCCTGTCTCTCGGCTACCCCCACACTCAAGTTCTTCTCTAAGAAGTAGGTCTATATTATTCAGCCATAAAAAGGAATGGAGTCCTGATACAAACTACAACATGGATGAACCTTGAAAACATTATGCTCAGTGAAAGAAGCCAGTTACATATTATATGATTCCATTTGTATGTAATGTCTAGAACAGGTAAGTCCATAGAGATAGAAAGTAGATTAGTGGTTGCCAGGGATTGGGGGGTTGAGGGAAATGGGGAGTGACTGCTAATGGGCATGGAGTTTCTTTTGAGAGTGATGAAAATATTCTGGAATTAGAGAGTGATGATGTTTGCACAATCTTGTGAATATACTAAAACCACTGAATTGTACACTTTAAAAGGATGAGTATTATGGTATGTGAATTGTATCTCAATTGAAAAATAAGAAGAGCCCAGCCAGGTATGGCTCAGAGGTTGAGCATCAACCTAGGATCCAGGGATCGAGGTTCGATTCCCAGTTAGGACACATGCCCGGGTTGTGGGCTCAGCCCCAGTCGGGGGCGTGCAGGAGGCAGCTGATCAATGACTCTCTCATCACTGATGTTTCTCTCTCTCTCTCTCTTTCCCTCTCCCTTCCTCTCTCTAAAATCTATAAAGATATTTTTTAAAAATACTACATTAAAAAATAAGAAGAAATCCTGGTGCTTGGTTCCAAATACCCCCACCCACCTGTGCCCTGCTGTCCCTCTCGCTCAGGGCAGTCGGTCCTCATTGTTCCCTCTAAGTTCACCATGTCTGGACCATCCTCCTCTACGGCTGCAGTTTCCTACCAGAAGCATCCCTTTCCCTACATCTCTCCTAGTCATTGCTTCTTACTTTCAGCTCTTTATCCAATGATCACATACCTGGAATAGGTCTAGGGGTTGCAGTGGTGGCCTGGGTCACAGTGGTTGTGGAGGTAGTTGTAGTAGTAACAGGCATCTCCAAGACTGTAGGTCCAGTGGGTTCAAGTGTGGTAGGAGTTGTGGGCCTTTGAGTGGGGACAGTGGGTGTTTCAGTGGGGACTCTGAGTTTTTCAGTGGAGGCTCTGGGCTTTTTAGTGGGGACTCTGGGCTTTTCAGTGGAGACAGTGGTTTTTTTAGTGAGGACTCTGAGTTTTTCAGTGGGGACTCTGGGTTTTCCAATGGGGACTCTGAGTTTTTCAGTGGGGACTCTGAGTTTTTCAGTGGGGACTCTGGGTTTTTTAGTGGGGACAGTGGTTTTTTCAGTGGGGACAGTGGTTTTTTTAGTGGGGACTCTGGGTTTTTCAGTGGGGACAGTGGTTTTTTCAGTGGGGACTCTGAGTTTTTTAGTGGGGACTCTGAGTTTTTCAGTGGGGACTCTGGGTTTTTCAGTGGAGACAGTGGTTTTTTCAGTGGAGACTCTGGGTTTTTCAGCGGAGGCAGTGGTTTTTTCAGTAGGGACTCTGAGTTTTTTAGTGGAGACTCTGAGTTTTTCAATGTGGACTTTGGGTTTTTCAGTGGAGATAGTGGGTTTTTTAGTAGGTACTCTGGGTTTTTCAGTGGGGACAGTGGTTTTTTTAGTAGGGAGAGGGGTCTCAGAAGGGCCAGCAGGGGGAACTGGATATTTGGAAGGAAGCTTTGTTAGCACAGGTCCTGCAAAGAAAAGAAAAAAATCCCTGGAGTTTAGTGAAAACCATAGCACTAGCCTCCTCACTCACATCTAATTAGAGTGGGTGGGATCGAAGGGGTGACCCATTCATACTCCTCCTCCTACTCCCAGCCCCACCTTCACGCACTTAGTAAACACTCAACAACCACTGCTCCTAATATATGTCAGATATTGTGCCAGATATAGAAAACACAAAATGAATGGGGTAGTGGTCCTCCCGTCAGGATCACTGATCCTTGGGTAAGGTGTTTTGGATCCCACCACAGAAACTCTTGGTTTCAAAGTCACATCACTCAAGTAAGCAACCTGACGAAAGCCAGAAAGGTAGAGGTGGGCAGAATGCAAAAAACAAAGCTGTCTGAAAACTCGGTCACAGAGCAGACTTCTTTTTAACCAGTACATACAGAGAAGCCCAAGAGATGGTCATCCCAGAGCATGGTCCCATTTCTGAGATTTTGGGTTTTGTCTTACCTTGACAGGCCCCAGGGTTAATCAAGATGAAACCCACAGCAACAATAAAGGCAGTGCTGGTACCCCTGATGGCCTCAAGTATCAGCTAAAGGTAACGAGGGAGAATGAAGGAAAAGAAATGAAAGTGAAACCTTGGCACCTCAGTGACTCTGCCAGGCACAGTCTGTCCTCTGCCATAAGGTCACTTTGTTCCAGCCTCAGTTGTCCAGTGCCACCCTTGCCCCTTTTCTGGAGCCAGAGAGCCTTCTCGGGAACACCGCATTCACCTCTACTCTGCTCTCCTTCCAGTGTCCCATCTTAGCCCTGGTTATGCTCCTGGATACCAGGTATGGTGTCCCCCTTACCATATCTCATGCACTTACAGGGCCCACTCTCTCCGTCTCTCACCTGCATGGACTGTTGATGTCCTGAAGGGACAGTGATGGAGGCATTCAGCCAGTCAGGGCTCTGAGACCCAACGCGTTGCCAGAGAGAAGTTGGGGAGCTGCCTGCAGGACTCGCAAACAGGAGCTTCAGCTTAGTGCCTTCTCCGAGGCCATACATGTGGTAGGTAAATTTCACACAGATCGTACTTGGGGCACAGAAGCTCCGGCTCACCAGCCTGAAAGCCTGGCCTGCCTCTGAGAGATTGTCAGCCTCAAGGTAGATATAGTTACCTTCTGGGCAAAGATGAGAATAGGCAAGATGAGAAACCTCCATGGGAGAAGTCTAGAGCTGCTTTCTTTAGCAACACCTTGCTTTCCAAATAGAAATTTGATGCAAATGCCCAAACCCCTCATATTGCAGTGGGGTGTGTGTGTGTGTGTGTGTGTGTGTGTGTGTGTGTGTGTGTTGTGTGAGCTCACATGCATATGCTCATTTTGGACTTTTCCAACTGAAGAAGCAACTCAGATCCCTTTGTTGGCTTCACCAATAAATATCCTAACTGAAAATGGGACAGTGGATTTTGAAACCCTGGGCTCAATGAATTGAGATGCCTGGATTTTCTGGGGGTTTCAGTGACCCCACAGCCATGAGAATCCCTGATTCATTCTATCTCTGTCATCTCCACAGTTCTGGCCCAATGGCACTTCCCAATAAACACCTGCTGGCTGATCTTCACCACCTACAACATCTTCTATTAGTCACACCAGCTAGCCCCCTAGCTAGGAGAAGGTTAAGTAATTTGTTGGCTTGAGGGGTCCTCAGTCTCCTCACCTTTGCTAAGAGGCCCTTGGACGGGCATATTTTTACTACTCCGGATCCAGTGTCCGCCATTCCCTGAAGTCTGGACCCAGTCACAGAAAGGATGGGCATCATCTTTAAAGTCACACTGAGGAAAGCTCTCTAGGGTATCAAAATGGGAAATTTGAGAAAATTTGGCCATCTCTCTATTCCTCCCCCATCCCACTCTTGACTCTGAGAGATCTGGGCCTCCCAGGGCCCTGGTCTCACCCCCACAGGGAGCAATACTGATTGCATCCACTGCCACGGCTGGTTCTGGGGTCTTTCCAAACACGCCCACCAAGGTGAACTGAAGAGAGAGGGAGAGGGGGCTTGGTGTGAGGAAACAGCCCAAATGCAAAACACCCCATCTGATTTTATTCTATTCTGGGACCCAGGCACCTCGCTCCCAGTACCCAGATGCTCACTCCATTTCAACATCGGGGGTGCCTACCATGGGTAAGGAAACCTGACCTCTTGCCTCTGTACCTGAATCGGTCCCTGGCCTGTGTAACTGACAGAAACAGGCTGCCAGTTGGGTCCAGGTTGTCCTGAGAAAAGAGTGTGTTTCCGGATGCTGCCTGCAATGGAAGTAATCCAAGGAAGTGAGATTAAAGGGACTGGAAAATGACTTCAAACTTATACTCAGAAGGATGAGTAGCGAAGGGAATACTTGGAATGTATTCCCCTCCACCAAATGCAAGCAGCTCCTTCTCTTTCACCTCCCAGCACTTTATTTTTCCAGAACCCAGTGCCCTTTCAGCTCCCCAATTCCACTCTGGAATAATCTTGCACATAGCCCAGATTTCTCTAGACCCATATCTCCGCATCAACCCAACCCTGGGAGATGAGCCTCAGGTCAGCATAAGTCCCATGACTTCACCACTCTCACCCAAGACAGAAGCATAGATGGTGAGGGCTGCCCCGGGAGACTGGCCATGGAGGGTGTAGTGGAAAGACAGACTCAGACAGCCTGACGACTGGCTCGGGGGACTCAGGAGAACAGCTTTCTCCCTTGGTTTTGCGTTGTGGGGGTCCAGAAGCATGTAGAAGCCACCTAAGAAGAAAAAGGTCAGTAAGGTGGGCTGGCTGAAATTAGGGGAGTATGGCACAGGGATAGAGCCCTGCGAGGCAGGGGGTCTGGCCCTGGGGAGCCCCAATCGCTGCCTAGGATCAGCTAGTGCTGAAGTGGGCTGACACCTGTCTCACGACTAGCTGAGGCCTTAGATCCTTCCAGAAGTACTTGGTGGGTCTGGGTAAGGATGTGAGTGTCGCCGTATGAAAAACGGCATCCTCTCAGAAGCAGCAGACAGAACCTTGTCCTTTGGGTTCTGACTTTTTAGGTCCCCCAGAGTTATATCCTATCCCTTTTCTTGACCCGTGGGACAGCTGATTCACACACACTGATGAGAGAGGCCTGTCTGACACAGATGAACAGCCATTTCCCCTCCAAATGGCCTCCCTGCATTCCCTTCAGTGGATTTTCAACACAAAAGCCAGATGATCCTTTTAGACCTAAGTCAGATCAAGTCACTCCTCTGCTCCAAATCTTCATGTAGAATAAAAGCCTCAGTCCTGACAATGGCCTTCAAGACTCCACGTGGCCTGTTCTTCCTAGGACCCGCCTGAGCTCATCCTCTCCATCCCAACCACATGGCTCCTTGCTGTACCTCAACAGCCCCTACCTCCCACCCCCACCAGCCCACTGCTACCGCAGGGCTTTGCACAGCTGGACCCCCTGGTTAGAGTGTTCTCACCTTCGAAATTTTCATGCCTCATTTCCTTACCTCCTTCAAGTTTGTGCTCGTATGTGACCTGAATGAGACCTACTCTGACAACTCTATTTAAAACATACAGCCCACCCTACCCCTGCACTCCCAATCCCCTTATTTTGTTCAACTTTTCATTTTTCTGACAGTGCTGCTCACCTTATAACTGTATAACTCTGCTTCTTTATTGTTTCAGGAACCGTTCCCCCTTGGCCCCCTACTGCTCCTTGTCTGTTTTGTAAGCTGATGTATCTTAAGTGCCTAGGACAGTACCAAGCACATTGTAGGTGCTCAATAAATATTTTTTGGGTGACTGAAGGATGAAAGGTGCCAGGGAAGGGAGGTGAGGAGCAGGCTGTGCTCAGTCTACCAGGTGAGGTGGCCGTGGGGGGCGCTGGCTGGGAGTGTGGAGTTTGCTTTCTGCCTGGCAATTCGAGGTGATAGAGGTTTGGGATTGCTGGGATTCCCAGCCCTTCCCAAGGTGAGTAATTGTAGAGTTGTCAGCCAAACACCATCAAGTCCTACGAGGTCACTGGGAGCCCAGGAAGTGAGAAAACAGTAATGTGGCCATTACTTACTACCAGGGCTGGAGTAGTCATCCTTAGGCCCCACATTCATCACCCTTGATGACCCTTTCTTCTGGACCCACTTGGCCCCAGAGGTTGTGGGGATCAAGCTCCAGCCACAGAGGTTATTTGGAGTGTCGAAGCTGCACATTTGCATCATGCATACTGGGGGGAATGAAAGGGGGGAGGATTAGCTTTTTCTAAGAAGAGGCAGTTCTGAAAAGTATGGTTCCATCTGGAGTCAGAATTCTGGGTCCCAATCTGGGCCCTATGAGCCATGGAGGGCTTTCAAGCCAGCTACAGTTTCGTTCCCTAGCGACTGTGTTCCTGGGACAGATTACTTAACCTGCCCAACCCTCAGTTTCGTCATCTATAAACTGGGAATAACAGTATCTGCATGTTGCAAACTGGATTATGTGTGGGGAACACCTAGCACAGTGCCTATGCTAAGTGTTAGTTTCTTGTACCCAGCTTCTAGAATTTTCCTTCCTTTGAATTTTCTCCCCTCAAATATCTAACATCAGCTTAGAGGGCTAATTCTAGATGGATTTAGGGTAGCATCCAGGATGACCAAACAGTCAGGTATGCCCAGGACTGTGGTGTTCCCTGAGGTGTAAGACTGTCAATGCTAAAATAGGGACAGCCCAGGGAAAACTGCAATGGTTGGTCACTCCAAGACAGCTATCACCACAACTCTATGCTGCAAGAGAACCTCTCTTTACACGGCTGCTCAGGAGTCAAAGGCACAGGGAATGAAGGTAGAGAGAAGCGAGTAGGCTAAGCTTCAAAAGAAACCAGGGTCATGGTCCCAGAGCTACTCCTGCCACCCTAGGCAGATAGCGGGGTGGGGAGAAAGAGGAGGAGAGACTGGGGCTCACCCTTATTGCAGGAGCCACGATGGACAGAGACATTATCCAGAGAGATGTCCAGGTAAGCGGGGCTGGTCCTCACTCCTTCAAATATCAGCTGTGGGAGGGAGGAGGGATCACCCACCCTGCGAGCCCCTTTGCCTCAGGCTCCCAGTTTCCTGCCTGAATTCATATGGCCCAGCCACATCTCCTCATTGCCCCAGTCCCTTCTGGGTCCCCCACCCCTGACACCAAGATTTCCAATGGGGCCCTGGGCTCTGCCCTTGGCCTCACCTGGCTGGGCAGGGCATACCCGCTGGGCACAGTGACAGCAGTGGGCATCCAGGAGGGGCTCTGAACGTTAATGTGTTTCCAGAGCAGGTTAGAGTGCTTGTACTTGGTGCCTGTGACCAGCAGCAGTTTGAGCTGGGCACCCCACGATAGCCCGAACATGCAGTAGGCGAAGCGCACACACAGAGGGCCTTGATCCCATAAGGGGGAGCTCCGCAAGCGGGCCACCCCGCTCTGGTGGAAGGTGTTGAAGTCCAGGTGCAGGTAGTGGCCCTCTGGGGAGGCAAAGCCCAAGACAGTGAGGCCCTGCCATCCCCCGGGGCTGCCCCAAACCCTTTCCCAGAGCCTAGGCGCCCACTCCCAGCTGCCTCCCTGCTCCCTCCACCCAGATTTGCCTATGCTCACCTCCCAGCTGCCTCCCTATACTTTAGGTTTCCTCACCTCCATTGGAGTAACCCCCAGTGGGCTCAGTGCTGCCCATGTGGGAGGGCCCACTGGATCGAATCCAGTCCCCATCATCTGTGGATTCTTGAGTCCAGTCACAGAAGGGTTTGGAGTTGTCCTCAAAATCACACTGGGTGATAATTGCTGGGAAGAAAAGGCCATTGTGAGGCCAAGAGAGGGGCACAGGTGTTAGCAAGATTGCTAAGCTTAGAGAAGGCGGCCACTAAGATTAGGGTCCAGAGCAGAGATTTTGGGAAAGAGAATCTGAGAAGCAAGTCATATCTTAGGAGAAATTCAGGGTGGGGGTGGGGTAAGGTGGACAGAATGTCTAAGTCTGAAGTCACAAACTGAGGTCCAGGGGTCTGGATTCAGGGGGGCAGACAGGCTTTATCTGGGCAGATACACTTTGTTTTTGTTGGGCAGATACACTTTGTTTTTGTTGTTGTTAATTTGAATGTGAATCTTTTATGCAGGGCTTGTGCCCCTCCACAGTTCCCTCCACCCTCAGTCATCTAAGGGCTGCCCTTTACACATACACGTAATTGCCTTGCCAGGAGGGCATGTGGGTGGCCACCCTAGGAGGGAGAGAAAGTCTGAGCAGTCCTGGTTTGCAACTCACAGTTGTTCTTAGAGTTGTGGGTGGTTGGCTCCTGGTCTAGAGGGTACTCTTTCCTTGAAGTTGATTTGGAGAAAAAACAAAATGTAATACTTGTCAATATCAAGAATTATAAGTCTCACCCAGCTGGGCGTGGCTCAGCAGTTGAGCGTCGACCTGGGATCCAGGCGATCGGGGTTCGATTCCCAGTCAGGGCACATGCCCAGGTTGTGGGCTTGATCAATGACTCTCATCATTGATGTTTCTATCTCTCTCTCTGCCTCTCCTTTCCTCTCTCTGAAATCAATAAAGATATATTTTTTAAAAAAAGAAAAAAAGGAATTATAAGTCTCAATGACTGTGAGCTCCCTTAAGTTCTCATTTCTGTCTGAACAAGTGTCTCCCTGAGAGGTCCTTATATCCTCACCAGTACCCCCTCTCTGTCTATGCCCTGGATGTCCGGTGTGGTTGAGTCTCAGGTGAGGAGGAAGCAGTTTATACCTGGGGAATCTCCTTCCTTTAGGTTGGGCCTTTTTAAAAAAATATATCTTTATTGATTTCAGAGAGAGGAAGGGAGACAGAGAGAGAGAGAGAGAAACATCAATGATAAGAGAGTCACTGATCAGCTGCCTCCTGCACGCTCCAGGGCATGTGCCCTGAGCAGGAATCAAATTGTGATCTCCTGGTTCATAGGCTGATGCCCAACCGCTGAGCCACACCAGCGGGGCAGGTTTTCTTGTCCTACAGTCCAGATTTGCCCCGCAAAGCAGGGACTATATGGGTCTCGTTTTGCTAGGTGTGTGGTGGGGTGATATTGCCTCAGCTACATGCAACTGAACAAACATAGGACTAACAAAGGGACTGCCCCTCCTCATCTTCCAAATTCCTCAGAGAAGTCCCTGCCCCTCCTCAGGCCACATAGAACAGCCCGTGGTTTTAGTTGTTCAAGTTCTACTTCTTCAAATCCCCCCAAACCAGCTCCAGGACACTGAGCCATCCATCATTTCTCGCCTTTTACTTAAAGTCTCCCCTGTGTGCTGGGTCTGCTCTAGGCTTTGTCCATTTTCTGAGGCTTGACCTCTCTCTCCTCCTCTGCCATCCTCAGACCTGTCTCCCCAGCTCTACACCTCCTCCCTCTTTCCTCACATTTCAGCTCCATCCTTCTCCCCCCTGAGCTTTGCACCCCTCAGTTCCTGGTTCTGAGACTGTGGGGCTCCCCTCGTTTCTGTTCATTGTCTTTCCATCCCGCGAGGCTCCCACCTTCCTCCCCAGGACTGTGCCCTTCATCACTAGCCCGCCTGCCCCTCCAACTTTACCCCGAACTATTCCTAGGAGCCACCCCCAGTCACCCCCTGAGCCCATCTTACCAGACAGAGACGGCAACTTGGCCCCAGCTGCAGGCAGCCCCCATCATTAGCACCAGAGTCCAGACCGACGAAGCCATGCAGGACCTCGAGGTAAGCTCTCAGGGGACAGGGAAGGCAGAGTAAGGAGCCCAGGCTACTTTAGACATCCCTGACCCTCTGTGCTGGGCATCCTTCCGAGGATGCCAGGAAAACTGGACAGAGAACTGGAAATAAAAACTATGAGGGCTGAAATTTAAAATCCAATAGAAGAGTTATAAATCAAAATTAAGAGAAATAAAATGAGAGATAGAGAGAAGGAAAGCCAGAGAGAAAGAAAAGAAAGACTTGGAGAATCAGTCTAGGAAGTCTAACATCCAACCAAGAGTTCAAAAAATAGAAAACACAGAAATTACTTCAAAAAAACTACATAAGATTTCCCAGAATTAAAACATGAGTCTCTTGATTAAAAAGAGTCTGGTATGACGAATGCAAAGAGACCCATGAAAGGCATGTCATAAAACTTTAGGATATCAGGGGCGAAGGGAAAATCCCAAACACTTTCAGACAGAGAAAAGCAGGTCACATACTAAGTATCAGGGATCAACACGGCGCTGGACTTTTCAATAGCAACCGTGGGTTCTGAGGGGCAGCGGACCATTGTCTGCAGAATTCTAACAGAAAATGATTTCACACCTAAAATTCCATAGCTGGCAACAGTGGCAGAGGCAACGGGAAGGTCAAGTAAAGTGAGGACTGAAATGTTTATTGGCAAAGAACTGGAAAGGGCAAGTCATGGAAGAAATACAACCAGCCAGTAAACATTGGAAAGGATTCTCTACTTCACTAGTAATAAGCGAAATGCTGAGCAAATTAAACTCCCATATTGACAACAATTTAAAAGATTGAGAGTGTTGAGCCCTGGCCAGTGTGGCTCAGTTGGTTGAGGGTCGTCCCACGCATCAAAAGGTCACGGGTTTGATTCCCGGTCAGGGCAATACCCAAGTTTAAGGTTCGATTCCCGGTCAGGGTGCTGGTTGGGGCGTATGGGAGGCAACCAGTCCAACCAATCGATGTTTCTCTTTCACATCAATGTTTCTTTCTCTCCCTCTCCCTCTCCCTTCCTCTCTCTCTAGAAATCAACAAAATTTATTTTTTTAAAAAGGTTGATAGCATTGAGTATTGGTCAGTATGCAGGTAGATACATTCATATACATTGTTCATAAGACTGTATGTTGGTGAAAACTTCTTAGAAGCTAATTTGACAATGACTATTAAACTTCCAAATGTGGATATCTTTGACCCAGCATTACCTTTCCAATAATCTTCCCACAGAAATACATGCTTATTTGCACAAAGATGTACATTCCTTAAGTATGTTGACTGCAGCATTGTTTACAATAGGAAAATAATTGCTATTACCCAAATGTTTACCAGTAGATATGCGATCAGATCATATTCAAAGAATACTTATATCAAAGAATATTATGCAGATATTAAAAAGAACAGTGTTCCTAAAAAATACAGAATTACCATATGGTTCAGCAATTCCACTTCTAGGTATATAGAATTGAAAAAAATTGAAAAGAATTGAAAGCAGGGACTTGAACAGATGCTTGTACACCCATGTCCATAGCAGCACTATTCACAGTAGCCAAAAGGTGGAAGCAAGCAAGTGTCTATACGGATGAATGGATAAATAAAATGTGGTATATACAGTGGAATATTGCTCAGCCTTAAAAGGGAAGAAAACTTTTACACAGCTAAAATATTGAGGACATTATGCTAAGCAAAATAAGTCTGTCACAGGCCGGCCGGGCGTGGCTCAGCGGTTGAGTGTTGACTAGGATCCAGGCGATTGGGGTTCGATTCCCGCTCAGGGCACATGCCCGGGTTGCGGGCTCTATCAATGACTCTCTCATCATTAATGTTTCTCTCTCTCTCTCTCTCTCTTTCCTTTCCTCTCTCTGAAATCAATAAAGATATATTTAAAAATAATAATAATAAGTCTGTCACAGAAGACCAAATACTGTATAATTTTGCCCATACGAGGTACCTAGCATCAGCAAATTCATAGACACAGAGACTAGAATGGTGGTTGCCGGGGGCTGGGGGGAGGGCAGAATGGGAAGTTAGTGATTAATAGGTGTAAAGTTTCAGTTTTACAAGATGACAGTTCTGGAGATGGGTGGTGGCGATGAGTTGCACAGACCCTGTGAATGTACTTAGTACATCTGAACTGTACCCTTAAAAATGGTTAAGACAATAAATATTTTGTGTATTTTACCACAATGTTAAGAAATAATTTTTAAAGAGTACTACTTGATAATAAGGTGCTATTAGAGTTTATTCATGACTTAAAAATTTTAAAAAAGAATGGAGAATGGTGGCATATCCATAGAGTCCAATGGTGGAAAGAGATATATTAAACAAAAAGAGGTGAGACAGAAAAATTATGTAGTGTGGTCCCATTTATGTAAAATCCCAGAACCAAGGTATGTGTTGATGTACATATTCAGGTCGAGGTGTAGAGATGGAACTAGCAGGACACACACCGCAAGCTGCTCACAGTGGTGACCCCTTGGAAGGGGTGCGCAAGGTTTGCATGTCTTCTGCATATTTACGAATCCAGGCGTTCCTGCCTACAGACTTGGTTTGTTATAGACACCTTAGTGAATGTCATTTGAGAGGCCTGGTTGAGGGGAAACCAAACTAGAGGGTTTGAGGAGGGAGTGGAAGTTGAAGAAAGGGATCCCAACAAGGAGGCAGGGACAATGTTTAAAGCTGTTTGGCCGTCTAAAGGAGACTTGGAGATTAGGTGCAAAAACTGGGACAAAGTAGGATCTTTTCAAGATAAGATTAATTTTAGCCTGTGTAAATGCACACGGGAAAGGTGCAACAGTGAGGCAGATGAGAAAAGGGCTTCTGAGAAGGTGGGTGGGAAAAGTCTAGAATACAGACAACAGGAGGGACAAGCAGGTCTGCGAAGGGGGTGGGGAGGGACAGTGCAGATGCATGTTCAGTGGCTTCGGTTTTGTCTATGAAGTAGGAGACGAGTGGAGAAGAATTCAGTCACAGAAAGGACACAGCAGTCCCCTTCTCAGAGGAGCTTCATGCAAGTCCTGCCCACAGCCAGCTCACCCCCACCTTCCTGCTTGGGCTACTGACAGCCCTCTCTCCTTCGGCCCCACCTCTTCCCACCTTTTGCCACACTTTACAGCGGTGTCAAGACTTCACTCCAACCAGATCAGTGCTTGGCAGGGAGGCTGTGGAAGGAGTCTTTCACCCAGATCACTGGTGATAGGAAGGGAAGGGGGCTGGTTAGGGAAGGCTTCTGCAGAAGGTGACACCTGAGGGGCTTTCTAAATGACAGAGATGGTAACTAGGCACAGAAGTTGGGAAGGTACATTCCAGGGAGAAGAAAAGTTCCAAGCTTAGAGGGAGCAGGACACTCTTAGAGAATGGCTGGTGGGGAGGGGGGGTAATACTGGAAGAAGGCAAGAACCCTGTCTAGGAGACCTCAAATACTGAATACTGTAGCTTTGAGGAGCCACCGAAAGTTTTTAAGCAATGGGAGGGAGTGACTATCAAGTCATTTGCATTTTCAAAGGGCTGTTGGAGGGAAAGGGGGAGAATGTTGCATCAAAGTGTGGCTGCCCAGAGCCAGGAAGATAGGCAAGGGGGTTGTGGAGGGTGAGAGGTGCAGTACAGATGCATGTTGAAGTAAATGGAGCTGGAGACAGCAGCTCTTGCACCTAACCTAACTGAACTTCATGTCCTATTCATAGCAAAGATATTGTCCTCATTTTCTGTGTGGAAACTAAGCTTGGGAGAGATGAAGTCAATTGCCCAGCATAAGAGCATGGCACTGACAGTCCCCACACTGTGTCCTGCCCAGTCCCACAGTTCTGTGAGGATCCCCTGGGGGCTGTTGGGGGCATCCAAATCAGGGTTCCACCCTAGCCAGAGCAGCTATGCTTTTATCAGTTTCATAAATGGCAATTCTACGTAAGATTGCTGTTGAAAGGGCGGTTTTTGGCTCTTAAAAACCCAGTTGACCCTCATTGCACATACAGAGCTGTAGCTAGGCTAGAGGGCTGGCCCACAGTGAGCTGAGCTATTGTGAGTCCAGATTTCCTATAGCCCATCACACCCACGTGTCCCTAGAAACCCTCAGTGTCATTCCCTTTACCTTGGCAGCCCCCAACCCCCACTATCAATTCTGTGCCCAGGGTGCCTGACAAATGACAGTGATGCCTAAGCAGGCCATTCTCCTGGACTATCAGGGAGGGGCCAGTACAGTTGAGCACCAGGCTTCCAAGAGGGAAGTCCTAAAGCCCCTTTTACAGTTTTTGGGACTCCTCTGCCCAAATGAGCACCAACAGGACCCATGCAGGGGTTAGACGAAGGGAGAGAGAGATCCTCTGCCCCTTTACATCAAAGCTGGGGATATAAAGCATGCCCATCCCAAACCCTGGTCTACCCTTCCTCCAGATCAAGTTAGCAAAGCAACCAATAGAGGGACAAAGCCAGGAAAGGGTTAACCCAGGGAAGAGCAGCAGCCAATTGATCCACAGCCTCTCCTGGTTGGGCAATAAGTCCTCTGAGGTCTGCTTTTCCTGACCTCCCTTTGGCGCCACTGCCTCAGAGCTGGACTGTCACAGCTTCCAACCTGCCTGAGGTGGGGGTTGGGAGTTCAAGGCAGGACTGGAAAGGATGGATGGTGGCGGTGGGAGGGAACCATTGGGTTCTGCATTTTGGTGAGTCAGGCAAGACCCCAGAGAGTTTGTCACCTGATAAAACTGGCAGCTGCAGG